GTAACAAAAGACTTGCAAGATTATTAATAGTACTCCACCACTGTTCATTATTAATAATATTACAAATTTTTGTAAATATATTTCGTGTACTACTAGAAGTTGACGAAAACTCGAATTTAGCTACAAGAGTCTAAATTATAATTTAATATTACTTTTATATTATAAAGTAAATAACATTAAAAATTAAATATATATTTTAATAAACTTGCCTTTAAAGCTGCTTTGGTTTTTACTAAACTTGAAAAACAAAAATAATAACTGTTCCACCGGGTTTCAACAGGACTAACAAGTGCAATATACTTTTTATACATAGAATACTGTTCATCACGAAGTTGTTTAATAAAATATGAATTATTCGTATTGTTAAAAAAAGATACAACTATAATAGCTGATTTTAAAGCATTATCAAATTCAAGAGATTCTTTAAAAATCTCGCCAATACATAAATTAAGCTGGTGAGCAAAACAAGGTAAAAAAATTTTGTTTGTATATTTTAATCGTAACCGTCATCTAAAAAAATAAGCATAAATAAATCTAAACTTAAATTTAAAAAAAACTTACAAAACTTACTTTGCTGCTGTATATGGAGACGCACTATCAGTTACAAGACCAATAATTTGAATATTTTCCATCTCGAACATGGTAAAAAATGTTTCTATCATTTTCATTACATTTTCCCTTTTTTTTTGTTCACCACTAATATCTTTAGCTTCCCAAATTAGTAATTCACCTTTTGATATAACAAGTATAGACCCTAAAATTTCTTGTTTAGTTACGTTTTTCCATTCATCAAATACTAACATTACGCCATTTGAATCTTGTGCTTTAGTTTTTATAATATTTTGTATTCTTTCAGCTGCTTCTCTTAAAATTCGACCAGCAAGTTGCTTACGATTAGGTAAAATAAGATTTGGATTAAGCCAATGATAATGTGCAATAACAAATTTGGCTTCTACCCATCTAAATGACCAACCATTTTCAATAGTCATATTAAGAATATCTTTTTCAAATTGAGCTTGTTCTTTATAAGTAAGTATACAAGCTAAATAATGTACCATTTTGTTTGGATTAGATGTATTAGTATTTTGACTTGTAGAAGATTCTATTGATTTAGTAGTTCGCTCTGAATAAATAGAAACTGAATCATAATCATCGTTATCAGAATCGATTTCAAAAACTTTTAATATAAAAATTTATTAGAATTTATTGTTATTATAATTTATATAGGTAATTTTAAGCTAATAATTATAAAATTTACCATTGTCATCAAGATCTGTAGATGATTTTTCATATGGTTATAACTCTGAACTTTTTCTTTTTTTTATTACTTTTCTTGTTTCTTTTTTAGATATATATTCTTGCTCAGCTTCTTGTAATTTTTTTTCTGCTTCAGCTTGTTCGAACTCATTAAAAAAATTATTACATTTTTTAAGATGGTTTCGAACTAATTCCATCTATTAACAACTTTTGTTTCATCACCAACATTGTTACAATAACGACATAAACACTATTTATCACTAGGTTTTTCTGGGTTGATATATTCATTTGTAACAATTATATGGTTTGTAAGATTATGTCTTGGCTTTCCACCTGTATGTTTTTTGTTAGACATTTTTAAACGCTTACAAAATCATATAAAAAAAACACACTTGTATTTATAGATCATATCAAAAGACTAAATTTCTTTGCCGCAAATAAATTTACATGTGAGAAAATAAGAAAATAAATACGTAGCAGCATTTGATATAATCAGGAATATATGTACATTGCATATGTAAGTACAATCATGTCTATTGTACACTCGCTAATTAAGGTACTTAAGAGTTATCTTATGCAATTACAAATATTGTTTTACTTAAATCAATTTATTCACATTTATTAGATAGCAAATTACACTAATTATACTAAGTATATATTACAATTTCGCTTTTAGCAAAGTTTTAATTTACAAAAACATTTCAATTTTTAATAGAGTTTTGATTTTGTAAG